GTTTGTAGTACTCCAGCGTGTCCTCGGAGGCGGCGAAGCCCTGCACCGATGCGGTCACGCAGCTGCTGCTCGCTGAGTAGGATACGGATTTGATATCCAAGGAAAAGGAGCGCTTCAGCCGGTTGCTGTCTTCCACCTTGTCCAGGGAGACGTGCAGCCCGTTGATGCCCTGCACCAGCGGGCCGTCCTCCAGAGGGGCCGGGTGCCCGCGGGGGCCGGCGCCGCCGTCCGCGGGCTTGGGCTCCAGCAGCTCCGAGGCGGCGGAGAGGCAGAGCTGGCTGGGAGAGAAGCTGCTCTGCCCCGCCTCCAGCACCTGCTCGCTGCTCTTCTCCAAGTGCAGGAGTTTCAGCTTGCTGATGTGGCCAGGCTGACCGCTCTGGTTCTTGATCTTCTTCTCGAAATCCAACAGCTGGCCCAGGAAGTTGAAGTTGGGAGAAATGGTTGGCCTCTTTTCTTTAACAAATCTGGAAAGATGGGACAAACAAACCAAGAATTATTTCAGGAGCCTGCTGCTCAAGTGTAAGATAACCCTGAGTGTTGTGAATGTCGACAGCCTATTCTTAAAGTTCAATCAAGCATAAGTAACTTGAGGATGGAGTTTAAAAAGGGCAGTTTAAAGCAAAATAATGCTTGCTGCATGGGCTAAAAAGTGTGAGGGAAAGGAAATATTTCAACTCTTCACGATGTCCACAAGCGATTCCAGAAATTTTCCCTATTTACTTCATCACTCAGAACTTTGCTACCTTGGTTTCTGACCAGAGTGAAGAACTCCTGCAGTTTTGCATGAACAGCACTTGAGCTTCAGCCAAGAGACTACTTCTCAAGTGCTACAGAGAGTGGACACCTTCCCTACCATTCCAGTGACATCACTTGTTCCTGTCACCTCTCTCATGTCACTATGCTGTTTGTCATTGTCAGGCAAGAAAGAAAGCTACAGTACATTCTGACCTTGTCCAGCAAGTGCCAGCAATTTCTACCCCACGCTGTTACTGACCACTGATGGGATGACCAAAACTAGAAAGGTGCAAATGCAGCATTAAAACAAATACCCTCCCTCAAGCCCTACAGGTGTTCAGCAGTACAGGGGAACAAGATTGCCAAATCCCTGGAAGAGCTCATCTATTTTGGGTGCTGTAGGAAGCAGCCTGGCTGGCACAGGTGTGCCAATACTCTCATGCACTGCAAGTGTAATGGTAGTGAAAATGTTTTGCTGAACCAGGATTCTAAATGTACAAAAGACTTGTATCACATGATTTCTATTATTTATTTCAAAGTTAAATATAAATACATATTTCTTACCTGTCTGATTTCCAGTACAGGTAAGTAAGTACTTTGCTTTTTAACAGGCTGCAAAACAGAGTTGCCAAAATCCCTCCTCCTCCAGTTTTGGTTTTGGTTTTTTGGAGGTTTTTTTAAGAAACTTTCCTGGAACTATGATTAATCAGTTGACAAGAGAATTAACTAAGAAGAACTTTGAAGAGCTAAATTGAGTACAAACACACATATGATGTGTCACTGGGAAAATTAAATACTATTAAAAATAAAACATGTCTGGGGAAGTGTACAGAGGATGAGTGTGCAGTCATTAAAAGCAGTGTGAGAAAAATGGAAAGGTGTAGTTGTGTATGTGTATACATGCTAGCACATGAAAAATGTCAAAACTTGCATTTTTATTGCTACTTTTTGGGGTTTTTTTTTTCATTTTCCAGAGAACAAACAATACTAGGAGTAGTTAAGCTGACACTATGGCCTGGAATATCAGATTGCACAAGCTGATAGTGGAAACTTCCACCAAGAAGTGTAACACTGGCAAATGGAGAAATCTAGTGAGTCTCCTCAGGAGAAATTCTGTAGTTTGTCCTCTTAGCATTTGATGTGAATTTGATGTGATGGGTTTTTAACAGTTTGCTCCCAGGAATTCATAGTCTTTGTTCATTTTTTTCCAAAGTTGTACTTGGGTTAGCTACTTAAAGCAAGGTCCTTCTTGCCTGTGTTCTGGTAGCCTCCCCAACACTCTGTTCTTTCCACTTTCTCCTCTCTCTCCACAATACTGGGCAGACCCAAACTTAACATTAGAATTTTTAAAAATTAAAAGAGTAGGGAAAGCATGCTGCATCCCCTGACAAGTTTTAAAGCTTTGCAAGCTTTTTCATCTCAAAATACACACTATTTTTTCCAACTGGAAAACATGTATAATGTTTAATTCTTATGTTTATTTGTTAAATAGTCCATTATACAAAAGTTTTTAAAAGTTTATTTCTTCGACTTCGAAATAGTATCACCTTTTTATTTTTGTAATAATGTCAGACAAATATTTTATCTAATAACTTCCTCTTGTAGTTTGACATTAACTGACATTTAGGGAAAGAAGTAAGAAACCCGCCACACTTCCACTAATTCAAAGAAAAGTATTTTTCTTTTAAGCTTGGCCAGCAAGAGATCCCAAACCAATGTGTGAAAGATTCTGCAGATGATTCTCCCTGAGCTATGTCAAAGGAAACATGATGAAATATAACCTAAATTTCACAGCAGTTGCTCACTACTAAGAGAAAAAGACTTAGTGGGATTAATCCTTCACATTCTGTTCATGCTTTTGGTTAAGATACAAACAAGAATATAATGCAGAGATTTCATGAAGGAATTTAGAACCTCCCAGAAGAAGTTCCTTGAAGTGTGTGCATTTTAGAAGTCTTTTGTTCACTACAGCTCTGCCCTCAGCCACTACAGCCTGAGACCAAGCAGATTTTTTGACTGAGCTCACACCTTGCACAGTATCTATCCACATCCACTGTAATTCACACTTGTTATCTGCACCTGAAAAACAGAGCTTTTTACTCCTTAACCAAATCTGTTCCATGTTGAAATTCCTACACAACACCAAGCTACCAGCAGGCTCTAGTGAGGAAATGTGGGAAGTGTCCAGACACAACAGGAGAGAACTGTAGCTCAGGCACCTCTTACATGCAGTTTTTTCATTGCACACATAATGACATTCAACAGCTTGAAAGAAAAGCTTCTGTGGAAATCATGCTCAACGTAGCAATATCCAGTGTTCATCTCTCTGTCCTCATCCTTGTTTTAGAGGTGGTGGTAACAAACACACAGGTTATTCTAAAGGGGCTCCTCTTCCCCCTGCTCCAGGGCAGTTACTCAGATAGGTTCTGCATAACTCCTTACAGTGATGCACCAGCTGTGCCAGGGAGCCCATCAAAAAGAAAACCATCATTTTCTGTACAACACAACAAAGCAGTCGGTTAAATTAAATACAGAAGTCATGCTAAACAGCAACCATGACACCTGGAGAGTAGGAAAATGTTCACAATCCAAGTAGAGAAAAAATGGGATGTGTAAAGGAGGAAAGGGAAGGAGATCTCCACAAATATTGCCAAATGAAGTTATTCTTCAAAATACTTTCTCCACAGTTTTTGGTTGACTACAAGAGCAACACAGAAGCTTTCTCCATTCCTGGGTATTTCACTTGCAGGCAGTTCGCTGTGAGCACTACCAAACACCAAAATGCAGGAGACAGATCCAGCCCAGCATTTGTCCTAAGTGTGGCTCTAAATACCCTCAGTTACCTCTTCAACCCTGACCATTCTGCTGTCCCTGTGGCTCACAAGATGCTGTTACACAAGTGCTGTAGCTCTGTGTGTTTGTACACACAGCTGTGGTTCAGGAATGGTGTTCACACCAAAACTCTCCAAAACCATGCACTGCTCCTCTGCAGCAGGATGGAGAGAACTGGAGGCACTAAAGGCCAAGATCATGGGTTGAGATAAGAACAATTTACTGGAAACAGTGATGAGATAAGAAAATGAACAGTAACAGCACCACAGTAATGACAAGAGGGTATGAGAAAGTGGCAAATGATTCTCACCATGTGGAAACCCCACAGCACCTGCCCCCGAGGGACCCTTCCCCTGCTCCCAGCACTGGCAGGAGGTAGCACAGAACAACCTCCAGGTCCTGGCCATGCCTCTCCTGGCTACTGCAAAAATTAACCCCATCCTGGCCAGAAGCAGGACAAAACACATACATGGAATAGGCAGTTCACATTCCATGTATTTGCCTGCTTGGATCAAAGACCATTCTGCAGTGGGCAATTAATATTAGCTGTGTGGTATTTATTCAATACCATTAATTTGTTTCTGGAGGAAACCTATGCTTAAAACAAATGTGGCCAGTGAACTACCAAATAAAATGTCTGTTTCTACCCTTGCTCACAGAACCTTTTATCATCCACCCTAAAAACATGGCAACAGGCACAAGAGTTAGTAGGAAGGGAAGATGTCCCTACCTGTAAGCTTCATCCAAGGACATATCCATTCTTTTCATGATGTATGCAATGGCAATTGTGGCAGAGCGAGATATCCCAGCTAAACAGTGCACCAACACACAGCCATTGGATGCTTTTGCTTTTTCTATATGGCAAAAGAAATTGGCAACTGTCAAACTCAGAAGCATCATACTGGGATGAAAAATTTACAGAGAAAGTAGTGTTACTGAAAATTATTCGAAGCTTCCAAATGAACTGCTAATTGCAAATCTCATGGAAGCTTGAAACAAAACTCATTTTCTCTAGCACTGTGTAGTAGCATTGAGTATAGAAAAAGCATGACTACACACAGGAAACATCCTGTAGTCACAGCATAGCTCATTTTAATGTACACGTAAACAGCCCTATTTAGATGTCTGGGAAAGGTGATTGCTTCTAATTTTATATACAAGTAAAAAGCAAGCATTCACGATGGAACTAGTTCAAATCTGGCTAGTTCACTTCTTAAAGGTAAAGACAGAAGGTGTATGTCCAAATTTCTAATCCACTCTCTGCAGACATATATCAGGCATCTAGCAGGCTGCCTGAAAGCAGCTCTGAAGTGCCTTTGCTCTGTAATGCTGGAACATGCAGTGGCAGAATCTCCCCTCTTTTCGCTCCTGTGCTCATGAAGTGATGCTGATCATGTCCCTAGATTCTGAGGGTATTTTCACACCACCCAGAAAGCACCTGGGGCTTCTCCGGCCAAAACAGCATGGCAGACACACAGAGCGACCTAAACACTGTTTGAGAGAGAGAATTAAAATTTTTCTACTCACCTATAAAATCGACTGATTTATCCAACCAAGGCAAAATTTTCTCACAAAAGCTGTCATTCACAGGCACTCTGAGGAAATGGGATTCTGGAATAAAATCAGGCTTTGGACAAGTATTGCTGGCATTCAGCACGTAGCCAATGTCGTTCTGCTGCATCAGCTCCTAGGAAAGAGAGGAAGATTAAGCCTAGACAAGTCAAATGGTAGCTTTGGCACATTACAAAGCTAAAGACCAAACTGAAATTTGTGTTGGAATTGCTCTAGCTGTGTAAGGGACATTCTTCTAGGAAAAAGAGGACTCCTCAGCTTTGAATTATTTTAACAACTTCTAATGAGACATCCAGTGTGTCCAAATAACATATGAACTGCAAATCCCATAAAAACAAAGTTAACAAAGAAGTAATGGTAGAATACCTTCTGCTACTCTGAAGCATCACTTCCAAGAGAATGAACTTTTTGCTACTTTGGTTAAAATTCTCAGCATGCAAGCTGACAACAAACAGTTCCCACATGCAGTTTGCTAACCTGAATATATGTTTTCCAGATCACATATCTAGGACTGAAATTGCCCCATCACAGATATTGGTGAGAAATAGGAGATTAAATGGATGCCTCCTGCAGTCACCTCTCAAGTCCAGGAGTTTCTTGTTTCTAAGGGAATGTACAAAACTCTCTCAAAACCTCAAGAAAAGAGATGAAGATCTTGCATTAAACCACTTCCACACAGCACTGAATGGCATTTTACAGGAGTTCTGCTCTGTGATATACAATTTCAGTTTTCAGTCTCTATGCCTCTTGCCTCTCAGAGAAATGTCACAGGAACAAGCAAAGACAGTGTATATTTTAAGAGTCAGCTGGGCTTTCAAGTAATGAAGTTTTCATGACTGAAATAAAAGAGAGGTGCCTCTTTTCTACATCTTGACATATGTGTGGTATTTATAGTTGGGCAAAGTAGTTCGTGATGCAGTGGGCACCTTAGTCCAAAAACATGTGGAAGAAGTACTGGAAAAGTAGAGATGGCTCCAATACAAACCATCCAGTTTCCTCTAAGGAAGCATCTTGAAACAGAAAGCAATTTAGCATGTTAGAGTAATGCTTATCAAACTGCCATGGTTCAGAGAGGATCTGGCAGTAAGTGACATGCAATACTAGGCTTGGACACTACTTACACTGAACATAAACATTGAGGAGCTTTTGGCCAGATTTCTATGGAAACGCTTATCTCAAAATAAACATTAAAAAAACCACCAAAAACAAACCCCAAAATCTGGTTTTAATCCTTTTGCTTTCATAGCAGATATATAATAAAGTTTGTCAATCCACAGGAGCAGCAGCATGAAGGAATTCTGCACTGCTGATTTTAACTGAAGATCTACCAGTAGAAAAATACAGTCACAAATCCAAATGGTTGATTCTTTCCCAAATTCTTTCTGCTAGCATAGAGATCTTTTAGTGAGGAGCAACAGGGATATGCTCATTTAGCAGAAAAGCCAGAACTCTATCTTGTTCAGTCAGAGCAGTCTAACTAACATGTGATGTTGAACACAAGTACCCCACATGAATGGCACAGCGTGTGTAGAAGGGATGAACACACACACAGGGATATCCATGCATAAATTAAATGCTGAGTGAGAACCAAGAGCTAAAGGGGAGAAAGGAATCTCCTTCAGTCATTTGCAGAGGAGAGTGCACAAAGTCCAGCCAATAGTGGTTCTAAACAGGGATTTTACATTAATTTCTGCTAGGGAGCTGATTTTTGTTGCCTGGAGTAAAATAAACTGCTCCTCCAACCTCTCATCCGAGCTCCCTCGGATGTACATCACATTCAGAGGCTGGAGGTGTGGGCACATTAAACCAATGGACATGCATTCTGACATGAACACATTCATCTAGGGGAACAGGAGATGGACAATTCCTTGCAAAGCAAATAATCAAAAAAGTTATTTGCAATGGTCAAAATAAAAATAAAAAAAAAGAAAAAAGGAAAAGGGCTGTATATGTCAAGGTAAGTTCTCAGCCTTAGTGCTTCTTGCCCTGCTAATTTCTTGGGTCACACTCCCAGTATAGCTTAGCTTCTCATCAACAAATTGCAGTATGTCCCTGTTTGCCTCTCTCCCTTGCTTCACATCCCCCAGCTGAAGCACCAAGCTGCCTCCAGCCCTGCATGCCTTCCACAGCTGCTGCTGCTGCACCTTCCTTGCCTGGATTTCACTCTCACACACTGACATGCCTAAAAACAGGAGTGCTGTAAGGAAATATGGGAATATTGGGAATTATCCAGAGGGGAGAGGTAGTGGGAATGGGATTCCTGGCACAGGGCACTAACTGCACTAACTGGACTCCTGGTATCTTACGTATGCTGGGGGGGGGCCCCTGATCCTTAACATTCCCACCCCACTGTCCTGGACCACACAGCTTTTCCCTTCCAGGATCCCAAAGCTCTTCAGCAGCAAATCCCGGGAAACAATTACTGGCTTTAGGTCATTGAGCTGAAATACTGATCCCAAACCAGCTTACTCCCTTGTTGTCACTGCTTGAAGGTGAGTGAGGAACAACTGGAATAACCAGCATGAAAGCACACACAGGATCCTGAATCTCCAGGTATGAAGAGGGGGGTAGTGAAAGCCTCGCTAACAAATGAACTTCCATGGTCAGGTTTGTTAAGAACATAGCTAAGGGGGGGTGATGAATTGGGAAGGATAAAAACCCCTATTATTTCTTTTAAAATATAAAATTGCCATTAAAAACATAAAAAGCCATTGATGGGCCGTACAGTCCAACCATCACCACTGCACAGTTATGCCAGGTTTTTGATGTGGAATTGATTATTCAAATGGAACAAGAAGGCTGCAGATGCCAAGTCCAAAATCTACAAGCCAGGAAAACCACCCCAAAATATTAGTGCTTGTCTTTCAGACTGAAGCTAAAGAAAGAAGTTATGCTTCCTTCTGTTCTGAAGAATGAATCATTCCCACTGTGACATGCTCCAGTGTAATAACCGTAACAGTGCCTTCATTGTGAGGCACCCAAGAGCAAAAAGTGAATTACAATGGAAGATCCAGAAAACCTAATACTAACAACTCTGTGAAAGAAGGTAAATGCTCTTTTGCAAGCTTATTTACATTTTATGACTTGTTTAATCTGAAAATTAATAGCACCTTAAAATGTTATGTTGTTCTGGGAAATAAAATCCAGGTCTGGAAGAAGAGAATAGTTATTCAAGTGGGAAAGCAGAAAGTTTTACATTTTAAATGCTGGTACAAGCTATGAGGTGGAAGTAGGATGCTCCTTCAGACCCATAACCACACTACAATTGCTTTCTGTCACACTAACTTTCAGAAAAAACACTGTCATTCCTATGTAGGTTAGAGCGCAATTTTCCTCTCTTTCACAAAGAACAAGGAAGATCTTCTGTAAAAGTAAATACTGTCTTGCAATGCCACCAATCTATCACAGGAAAATAACCACAATGTAGCACACTGAGACCCAAAACAAACTTTTCTCTTAGAACTCTTAAGGGGTTTTTAGCATTTCAACACTGCAAAAAATATGAATGTTTTCAGAAGTAAGCATTTAGAAAGAAATCTTCAAAAAATATTAGAATTCTCTTAACTTTCCTGAATGAATAACTAGTTTTGCTGAAGGACAGAAACCAAGCATTTGTGGCTGCACATCTTTCCTAAATGAAGCATTATCAGCAGAGGTATTGAGGGTAAATAGCATTAGTATTCTGAAAAGGTCATGAATACAGATTGTCCTGCAACAACAGAAACTTTTCCCTACTCAGGCACTCAGAGATAAGCTTATAAAGATTCTGACAAGACAAGCTCATCGTGATAAACTTGATGAAAATTCACATCTTTAATTCATCAGGTCAAACAGTAGTGCTGATTAGTAGTTTCTTGCAGATATTTTTGAGATTATTTAATTTCAGAGAAATTGGTATGTCTAGTGAATGGAAGAAACCACGAGAACTCACAGAACTTGAAGGCAAAAATAAGGTCAGTATACAACAATATCTTAAGTTTGGGGAATCCCACTAGAATTTTTCAGCTATTTGTTTGTTTTTTTAAAATCTGGATTTGAATAGAAAAGAGCTATTTTAATCTTAGCAGAAAGCTGACTTCCTGTCCCAAGCAGCCTCAGCAAGGCCTTTAAAGTAGAACATGCAAACATAGCCACTTACCAGCTCTTGGACTGTCCTAACAGAGACAGCAATTTGCTACTTGTCCCTCATTTTTTGTTTCTCGCCCTCTGCTTTTGAATGTTCTTCCCAGATTTCTTGCCATGCGTTTCTGGGCAATCAGTGTAGTCAGTCATCCTGCTTGCTCTCCCCTTGCCCCTGTGCAGGATCCAGGCTTCCCAGAAGCCAAGCATGTTGCAGGAAGAGCAGCAGAGATCCATTATTTGTGTTTCTGACATGCCAGTGTGTGGCTACCACTAACTTTTAATTTAACCCAGAAACTGATTAAACTCAGGAAGCTGGGAGTTGCTGGTATTGTGGAAAACATCAAGTGCCTTCTAAGACTGTACAAATTGTAATTTGTTCCCACAGCTTCTTTAGTATTTTCGGGTATTAAAGATGGGAGCCATTTTGCATTTTCCAAAGGCAAACATGGAATCTGGTAGGTAAGAGGCAGATAACCCATTTGCACTTAGTTCTAGTTTAGTGCAGCCACAAGCCACATGCCCAAGAAAGTGGAAAAAGTTAAAAAAATTAGTAGATCTGAAATAAAAAGATTTATATTTGTCCTAAAAATGGGTAAGAAATCTAAGAGGTCACCAGTGGAAGAACTTTCAAAACACTGGTTGTCAGGGATGACACCGGGTATTAAGAACTTCCTGAACACCTGAATAGGTGGTGTGCTATCATTGGTGTGGTTCTCCACACAGCATGGCAAACACAGTAATCCTTGGTTTTCAGTCCAAAGAACATGTGAAGAAGTACAAATCTGACCAGCTCCTGGGGTTCTTGCACTAATTCCAAAGTATCTTCAGCTACAGGGTTTCCTTTGACACACACTGAGGTGACACCAAGATTGCAGACACTGACACAAACAGCATAAAAACATCCAATACCTTATCAACTGAAAGAGGTGTTTTTTTAAAACTACTTAGTTCCTGCTGTCTTTTTTCTGGGGACCATAAATTATTTTTGTGGTAGGAAGAGTAATAAGCTGCTTTGACATCCATCATAAGTGAATCACTGAATTGAATGGTTGACGCGGCAGTAAAGACAAGGAAGATTTTAAAGGACAAAGCACATGCAATGACTGCTGACTATCCTCCATTTCTTTGCCTTCTTCCAGAGCACAATTACCTCCCATATGATTGCTTGTGTGTCAAAAATCCCTTTAAAATAATTGTGAAAAATCAAAAAATAGCCTATTAATGGCCAGACTGGGATGAAGCAAAAGTAGGAGAAACCAGTGAAAATTTAAATGGTCAAAGTACATAAATATTATCCAGTTACAGGACTACTTATGATAGCTCCTGGCTTAAGGTTTGTACGTAGATAAAAAACCATACACATACACCTCGCACATAATTACGGGAATATTCTAGAGCAAAGCACGCCTTCCCTCTTCCCCATCCATGTATTTAATGCCAGCTTATGAAGGCTGTTAGGGATTCAACTAATGTATAGAACTGTCAGAGAGCACAGGAGGGAAAAGGGCACAAGGAATAAAAATTCCCTTTGAAGGGACCCAAGGTGCAGGTTGGAAGCAGTGTGAGCTGGCTCCTCATGGAGGCAAACATCTATGGTTGTACATAGGAATAGAGATCCATAGCAATTTGAGACAAGCTCTCTTAGACATCTGATAGTACAGCATCCTACAAGTACTATATTTGATAATTTTGCTATTTTAAGATGTTTTTTTTTGCTATTCTTTAGGAGCAGAAATTACTCAGTTTTAATAATTTAAATTACTTAGAAACAGTAAAAGCTTCCTAATGCAGTGCCACCATAAAAGCTCATTTTAAACAATCCCATTGATTTCAGTAGGTGCACAAAGATTTGTTTGCAGTAATCCCTTATTATACAATTCATGGTGTTTAAATGTTATTTTTTCCAAGCACTTGAAGGAAATACTAAAACTACACAATCTTCCTTTGTCCTGCTGTAACTATGAATATAATTGTGTCAACCTCCAAGACCTGCCAAAACAAGCCAGTCAGAGCTGTGATAGGAACGCACTTGACCTGCTTCCATGGTAAGTGTGATATTTGCTGTTGGTTGATAGGTTCCTGAGGAATGTACCATTTCATCTGCCACAGGATGAAGGACAAAGTTTCATATTACATGACCCACAGATTAATTACGTGGTGTGTGGATCACTGCTTCTCCCACAGCTTTCCATGGCTTGTGCATTACCTGCATCCACTTCTGCTGTTTCACAGCTGTAACGATACACCATGATGGAAGATCCCTGGAGATCAGATACTCATCCAGTGACCCACATGGCACCCAGAATGCTCACCTTGTTGAGGACATCTCGCTGACACCCAAGGTAGAGATGAGGGAGGATTCTAGTTGGGCCAGTGTTGGAAACAGGTAGGCAGGGTTGAGAAATGCAAGTGGGGATGAGTGTGGATTTTCCTTCACAGAGACCAGGGAAAGAGCTGGAGAACTCAGCAAATCCACCTGTGAGAGGAAGAGCAGGTATTTAATCTACAACTACCAAAAAAATCTACCAGTATTTAATCTACAAATGTGGTGGTGCCTGTGCCAGTTGTGGGAGAGCAGCATTTAGCATAGGAGATGGGAGAGGCACTGAGGGGCAGCAGGAAAGCCTTGGCAGAGAAGCTGTACATGTGCCTTTTCCTTAGTTCAGCTTTGTGGTTCTCCAGACAAAATGGGAAACACAGTAATCCTTCATTTTTCTCTCCCCAGAATATGAGAAGAAATACAGATCTTTCTGTGGAACCATACATCAGCAGCCAAGGCCTGGCTACATATTCCTACTCTGCGTGGAACATTTACTTCTATCCCTCCACTTCTCAGAAATTTTTGATGCTTCTTCCCATTCTTAATATGTAGAAACGATTCTTCAGAAAAACAGGCACAGCATCCACCACACCATGAACAGGCATACCTTTCAGTCTCCACCCCAGCAAGATGCTTTCTAGACACTTCCTTCTCCCATATCAGGTTTATACTGAGAGCTCATTAAGAAAAAGTCATATTTACTCTATTTGGTAAAAGCATGAATATACATTTAGTAATGCTTACTTTTAAAATCCTACATAACTAATTTAAATCCTACATTACTAATTAAAATCCTACAGTACTAATTAAAATCCTGCAGTAATATTTTGAATGCTGCTCCACAATTAATATACTTAATTCAGGACACTGGAAGAAGTTTCATCTTTCAAAACCACACCAAGCCAAGGCTTCTCCATCTCAAGTGGGGGAGGTGAAGCAGAGGGAAGACTTGCAAAGCACAGCGAAAATCCCCAGCTCTTTCCTTCCAGATGAGCAGAATTTTAACTGAAGAAAGGGAAATTATAACCCGTTCAGAATGGAACACCTTGTTATCATCAAGGAATTGAAGCAGTGATGTGCTAAATCTGCCAAATGCTATGTTCACCATGATTACAGTTTGAAGATACAAATTAAAATTATTCAGGAATAAGCTAATGTACTGTTTTGCCAGGGCTTGCATTACCATTGCCTGAACTATGCTCATTCTTTCGATTTTAAAAACTGTATCATTAGTAAATGCAGAAACACCAAAGCAACAGAGTGTAGCAACCCATTTTATCTAATAAAAAAAGCCAGCAAACAGATTTTAGAGCAAACATTCTATGAGCAGCAATTCCTGCTCAGTCTCCTGAATAAATAAATAAACAAACAAATAAAATAAAGAACTTGACTAGTTTGTTAGACAACTAAGGCACTGCCTATCAGGAGCACAGACCCTGCTTGTTCCATATTTGAGAGGAAGAATTGCAAAACAATTCTCTCACATACTTGCTAAATTTTTTCCTGCATGGCCTAATGTTTTCCTTTCTGTTACTGGAAGCATTTATAGGCAGTATATACCTCTAAGATTGAATTTAAGCAGTTACTTGAGAGGGTGGTGAAGAAGAAATCAAATATTTGCCTTGGTTTAATTTGCTTATCCTTTATTTGCTGGGAGCATTGTTGGCTGCTTTGTGGATCCTCTCACCAGCATGACTGAAAATAGAGAAGTCCTTACAAAGAAGCTGCACAAGCAAGGATTTTACATCTGCACTATCTTTGCAAAAGACTACATGGAAAAAGTTTGGAAAAAAAGGTTTCTTCCCAACTACCTAGAGATTGGTCTCATTCCTGTGTGAAACTTGTGACAAGAAATTAAGAAGGAAGTTAATGTGCAAAACAACTGAGATTCTGGGGAGATGGAACCCATGCTCTGTAGTCATAAGTATGAGGAGCAGTCTTTTATTTTTATTCCAGGACTCTATCAAGGCCAATTGAAATGATTCAAGATTAGATGCTTCAATACTTCCTCTAAGGCATTCATCCTTTCAAAGTCATGTTTCTTCTTTTCTACTCATGCTCTCCTAGTAACATGTTGCTGCACTACCTTTACATGAATTACACTCACAAAACTCTCAAATCTCTGAAGTCTGACATTATACCACCTGCCTTTACATGTGCACCAAGTGAACCCTCCTTTCCTCTGACTGTATTGTAACCTGCTGTTACCGTCTGTACTGAACTGATTTGAGAAAGCACAAAACCAGTGATTTGTTTCAAATATTAAGCTGTCTTCCCTGACATCCTCTATGACCAGTTTTTCAAAATGTTAGTAGCTTTTCAATGAATCTGGCTTTGATTTATGGCACTTCCCAATATGGAAAACCCATTATAGGTCAGTGAATGTGGAAAAATTGCTTTAAAAAGTCCACAAACAAGCAAATCCCAAACCAAGAAAATACACATAACATATGCATCCTGTTTAAGTACTAATTCCTTTAAGTGTCACAAACTATCATGGGTCTGGAACAACAGCATCCACATGTATGATCACTGAGCTGTCAGGGCATTATGACACTCATTTCTGTTCAAAAGAACTCATCACTATTTGCTTGCACTAACTTACAAAATATATGCATTTTTAAAATATATAAGGAAATCTATTTTAAAAAGCCCTCAGTGCCAAAAGATGAAAAAGAAAAAGATATCTTCAGATATCTCTGTTCTCTAACACAGATGGTGGCTCCCCAGAGTTCCCAAAGCTGAACTGTATGACCAGACTACATGAGGAGCCTCTTATGAGGAAAGTATTTTAAGCACTCGGACCACTTGTACAGTTCAGATGTAAATGAAGCAGTTTTCAAAAAACAAACCTTACACACTTAGAAAATTAATTTAGTCTACAGGTAGGAATGCAGAACAGAAAAAAGAAAAATGGGACAGGTTTTGTTTCAAATTCCATAATTTGGGGATGACCTTTGCAAGAAGACATTTTTTTTTTCTTTAAATCTTGTTACCTACCACAGTTGGAACAGGGCCATTGGCAGCACTGTGCAGTTTTTTTTAATTAGAGAAAATATACTTTTCTTCTGGAGCTAGTTTCTAAATAACACCCTTTCTCCCACCACTGCTCCAACCTCATGTGAATCATAAATCAATCACAAGAGCATGTTGAAACTATGGGGGAGAGGAAAGCAAAAATCCACAGATCATTAACAGAGCTACTGGGTTAATAGAGTTTCACTAAATTCTTTGATAAATGTCACTGGGCCTTGGAAATAGATGACTGACAAATAACTCCAAAATATTCACTCCTCAGTAGCTCTGAACCACACAGGTTTTCTGTATTCTTAGTGGTAAGCTGAGCTGAAACAGCTCTCTTGACATTCAACAGGATGTCTCTACAAAACCATGTCAAGGTGCCAAAAGCTCTCTGGTTTTGCAGCCCTTGTGTGTGGCAGACAACCCAACGCCTCCCAGTCCTTACAGTAAAGTGTTTCTTGCTTACAAGCCTCCACATCCATTAGCAGAAATCTGGCAAGATCCATTGAGTTTCTTGATTGCCCTGTTGCTATGGTTCTCCCAAGTGGTGACTACAGACTTCCCTTTGATCAAGGCTTCCTTAACTACAGCTGGGATCATGAAGGTATGATCTCTAAGGGAATCTTGGTATCAAAAATGTCAAAAATGAGTTCCCTTCTCAGGCAACTCAGGAAACAAAACAGGGCCAAACCCAGAATGGATGAAAAAAGTTTCAGCAAAATTCTGCAGTAAAATTATTCCTCCCTATAGATTCACTGCCTAAGTCCTTATATAAACAGAAATCCCAATTAACTTTGCTAGAAACTGGAAGAGGCAGGGAAAGAATATGGGATCAGGAGGCAACAAATGAGAGAGAAGTATTGTCGATTTGGGAAGTGCTTCCTTTCAGTGATAGAATGGAATCAATCCAGATCCTTATAATTACTTAGTTTAACTACCACTAAACACAAACCATAAATTAATCCAGAGGATTGACTCCTGAGAAGCACAATCAGTTACAGCAGCTCATTTCTGTGTTCTGTGGAAACAGAGCAGGAGCATTCCAGCGATGCCAGCTGCCCTGGGGCGATCAGGGACAGAGCTCTGCAAACCCGCCTGCAGATTTGCAAATTAAAGATCTAAGATGCTAAAGATGCTAAGCCCAAAGGCCTTGATTTGAACACTTAGTACAAAGTTGTGAAGTGCAGATCATATTTCATTGTTTTTATCTAATGTTGAATAAAACCTTTCCAGTTAAATGACATCATAACAGGACAGCTGGATGGTTCTTATGTTTATTCCATATTACACTGGTTTCTCTTCTTTCTCCTGGTCTTTTTATTTTCTTCAATGGGATGTCAAACCATTCAAAGATGTGACCATAATTAAAAAAGACAAATTCACAGGGGAACATACTAGTTACTGATTTGGCCCAGGGAAGAGCAAGAACATTAAACAGAAGCATCAGTTATTTAAAAAAATCAGTTTTCAAAATGTGAGCATCATTCTTCATTCACACCACAAACCACAGATGCTCCCTCATACATCCATCCTATCTCTCAACTTACACATATTTCTAACATGTAGGAAAAAAAATCAATCAGGAGATAATATCTCTTTATAGTTGCTCATAACATTACTGTTGAAACAGCCAATTCTGTAGTTCCTTTTCATCCTCAAGTATCTGCTGAGACGTACGTCACAATTTTTATCCTTAATCACCTAGAGAGAGCTGCTCTTGCTAATTGGGCATGTGCATACTGACAAAGCACAGAAAGGAACAGAGATCTGGCCTTGCTTCAGAGACAAGGTGGGTTAAGTTTGGGTGTGAAACTGAAGAGCAACAGCTGTGGTGCAACTCTGTGTTTCCTCACAGCTCTGCAAGGAAAGGGAAAGATGAAAATAGGGGACCTTATCATTAAGTGTGACTTGTTTTTTCTGTCAAAGTACGGAGACAACTCCTACAAAGGTGAGAGCTCCATGCATACACAAATCCTAACAGTTAAAAATGTAGAAACAAGCTGACAGTGCATTTGTGCCATGAGGATTTTATACTATTTTTTTTTTTGTAAATACAGCCATGAAACCTAACTTGGAATGAAAGAAAGGTGAAAAAATAGATGTTCATGTTTGCAGTGAGCCTGGCCAGCTACAGT